AAAGAGTGAATACAGAAAGATAAAGATGAAAGAGTGAGAGAGACAGAAAGCTACGATGGAGCACACACAGAGATGGAGAGAAGTGAGACAACATTACTTAGTAACTACAGTGTACTAATGCTGTGTCATGTTGCAGCTCAGTGTGTATGGGGCTACAGTGCAGAGCGCCATCTCTGCTAACAGTGACAAGATTCACCTGTCACATCTCTCTCATATGACTAAATCAAATGCAGATTGAATTACAGGTAACAATCAGTACTACAGAGAACATGTAAGAAACCAGGAGCCAGCTGCACTAACTGCTCCTGTTCAAGTTTAGCCTATAGTCATTGTTTATTTAGTGTAATTTTATGCATCACTAAATTAAATCAGGCTGCACTATACAAACAGCTTCTTATGCTGAGATTAGCTGTAACTTAATATGAAGACACAGTAAGAATAACTTGTTACTGAGCCAAATAAAACTAAAATTAGCTTGCATTGCTAATACATGAGCCACTGAGAGCAAAGACTAAAGAGCTAATATAGAGACAAAGATAAGATAAAGTAGGATAGTCTCCAGGAGAGCGCTGCACAAGAATTCCTATATGCCTAGACTGTCTGTTTATGCAGAAATGGCAAATAAAAATCTTGAATTTAGACATATCTGTCTTGATACTTGATAACTGCTGTGTAATAATTATTAATCTTGAAGATTTTAAATAACTTTTTACAAAGTAACATGACCTGCCTCAAATTATGAAACGTTATGTCATTAATGTTTGACAAAATTAGTGAAAACCATGAGTTAGGTCATTATTCTTACATGCATCATTAAAGCTGCCATTTAGATAATCCTCGAAACTTAGTACCGTAAAGAACAGACAGAGAACGACAGGCTAAAGGGTGATGTTTTCTAACTTCCTTGGTTTCTGATTAGGAGTGATAGTCAGCGATGGGTTGGGTGTGGTGGCTCCATTTAAAACTAGCAATGGAGACTTGTGATTTAACAGTAGGCTTTACCACCGTGTAATGCCATAAAGGACATGAAATGATTTACCTGAGACCCTAATCTCTTAATTAATGATGGAAACACCCATTGTGACATTACTGATAGGAATGTGGCCAGAGATTAAACGTACACAAAGTCACAGTGTGGTTAGACTGCTGCAGTTTTCTGGATTCAACCCATCAGGATAACACTATTACGACATGTTGTTATAGCAGCAGAGGAACATGGGAGTGCATGCTCACATCCTCCTCCTTATATGAGGTGGCAATGAACATAATAGAAGTTAGTGAGTTTTATTTTTCCAGCAAAAAACTAAATATAGTAAACCTTAGGCTAAATTTAGAATTGGTAAGGCTTCTTCTTCTTCTTTGATAAGTTTGTAGATAAATGTTGTTCATGGTTGAATTATTTTGTACATTATAGTTAAACTTGTGTGTTGACGTGATGGAAAATAACATGATCTAAATATATAAATAAAACACTAAATACTAAAAATACTATATAAAATATAAATGTTTGGCCCTAAGTTTGCCTATGACAAAATTTGCCAAATATGAAATTCGATTAATGAGGATTGTAAAGATCAGACGCATGAACAGAATGAAATCCCTGTTGTTTGGGGATTTGGGGTGGTTTCCATGGTTGCAGGAAAGAATGTGAGCAACAATACACCTTAAGTGAAGAATTTCAGGACTAATGCTTGTGTTGAAGTTGCTGGACTTAAAATAACGAGGTGGCTCCTTTAATGGACTGTCTCAAACTTAGCTCCTGTCATTAAATGGACCTCTGATTGAGAGGCATTCATTGTCTGTGCAGCAGTAGATTTGTGGATCATCATCATCATCATGACAGGGATTTAGTCTGTGACCCCTGCAGACCACTCACACTCTGTTGGGATTTTTTTTCATTTGCCTGTCTGTTACTTCGGTCCAAACCTCACTCCTCCTAAGCAGAGCCAGGTTTAGAAATTCTTAACCCCAAATGGGGTTTATTTGACTCTTTCTGCATCTCACGGGCCATGTAGGGCTTGAAGAAGCCATGGAGTTCCTTTTCCTACTGCTGTCCTCAGTATGTGGTCAGAAGGCCACTTCCAGGCCATTCATGTCATGCCCTCCTTCTCCTCCCTGCCTCTTAGGCCACAGACTTCACAGGATATTCTTGAAGTAGACAAACATGTTGTTTATTTTCTTATAAGCTTGTGGTCTAAAAATGACACAAGCGGGAACTGTTTAGGGTCGGCAGGAAGCGACGGAGTCGGTGACCTAAGATTTTTGTTTTACAATAGAAATGCCTACAACCGTGTGACAAAAAGTGGGCCATTGATTGTTTCTGAGTGGGAAAATATGGTTTTACTATCAGGCTTATTTGTATGTTTTTGTTTTTGCAACTAACAATAGCTTCACTCATGATTACTGGCAGATGTACTGTCACACAGGTGCCTCACAGAAATCAGTTAGTCACCCAACCACAAACAACTGTCGAGCAACAGTGGAGACTGTTTTCATTGCCTTTGTTTCGCTTGACTGCATTCATACAGTATTTCTCCTCAAATGAAACATTTCCACATGAATGCTCAGTGTTTGTCTAATGGAGTTGTCTTGTAGAAACAGTATTATTTCTTTTTTCCTATCTTTGTTTCACTGCTTCCCTTTTTTGTCTTCTGTTCTTCCTTTCTCTCTTTCATCTCCATGGAAAGAAAGACAGTCAGGGCTATACCATGCTGAAACTGCTTACTAGTTTTCCCCTTTGGCCACACAAGGCAGTCCGCAGGCTCAGAAAAATGTAGAATACAGAGAGAGCAATAGAGCAAGGACCTATTCAACTACAGAAAATAAAGACATTTAAGTGGCCAATGATGGATAAGTCTAGTTTTGTCTTCACACCAGAAGTTACCCATGAGTTGTCTGTGCCTTAGTTTCTCCTTGTTTGGTTTGGGTTAGCAAGGAAGCAGCAAGATCCACTCCTCCACTGATGGGTTCTGTCCAAAACCACTGGAAGCTTCTTTTAGACAGAGTGGGAGACAGGGTGTGGAGGACTTTGTACCTTCCATGACTAAAAGAATAAACAGCAGAGACCATCACTGTGTTCAGACTCATGCAACACAAAAACTGTCCATAAACAACGCCTCGTCTCCGCGGTTCAGACAAGCCCACATGTTAGGATGAAATCATACACTAGCATTAGTTCCCACACATACTTGGCAAAACAAGCTGTGCTCTGAAGGCAGCAGAACGCATGATTGTAGCATGTTTACTTGGTTTTTTCCACATGTTAAGGTGTAGTGAGTAATTTGTTCCATCTCAGATTTATAATTGCTTTTTGTCTGAGGAAAACACTTGTTTTTTAATCTGGTTTACTTCAGTTATGCGTATACAAGCCAAACTCAGGCAAACTCTGTCTTTTTTATCCTTATTTATACTTTTGTCAAATGCTTCCAGCTGTTAGTATTAACCTACAGCCCAAATCTATGTGATATATATA